CTAAGTTCCCCAGCCTGGCTTCGAACTTTCGATCATCCTGCCTCAGCCTCCTGAGTCTCTGGAAGGTACCATTTCTAGCTTGGATTTAGATTTTGAGGTCCCGGGTCTTAAGGGGCACTGGGAAGCGCACTGGGAAGAAGGAGGTTGGCGCAACCCAGAGGAGGGGGTGGGACACACAGGCCCTCACACGTTCCCACTCCAAGCCCCTAAAGCCTCCTTTCTCCCCACAGGCCAAGCCCTTATTCAAATCCACAAGAAGCCTTCCCACTGTGGAGACCTCCGAGACCTCGGCCCAGGGTGCCCCGCAGACCTACGCTGAGTACGCCATCTCCCGGCCTGCAGGAGGGGCTGTGGTCACATGCCCCACAGGGCCGGAACCCTTGGCAGGAGAGACCCCCCACCCGGCCCTGAAACCAGGGGCCAAATCCAACAGCATCATCGTGAGCCCCCGGCAGGTAAGGGAGTAGACAGAATGGAGCCCTGAAGTTTTGGGGGGCCCTGTTCCTCGGGTGGCTGTGGGCAGGGGCAGGAAGTCATCTGAGCTGATCCACTTGGTCCTCAGCAGTGCCATTCATTCATTCACAGGGCCCACCTGCATTCATTCATTCATTTAACAACTAGGTGTGGGTCAAGGGTGCCCCAGCTCTTTTTTTGTTTGTTTGTTTGTTTTCCCGATACTGGGAATCAAACTCATGACCTCGTGCTTGCTAGGCAGGTGCTGTGCTGCTGAGCTACATCCTCAGCACCCCCAGCTCTTTTTTGAACTTCTTTTTTTTTTTCCGGTCCCAGGAATCAAACTCATGACCTGAGCTAAATCCCCAGCCCCTCCCAGCTCTTTTCTGTAGGGGCCATGAATGTTTCTGTGCAGCACTTTTCCAGTTCATTTATTTAGTAAAAACGTAATAAATGAACACGATCCTGAGTCTGAATCCCTGCTGTGCTGTGCAATAGCTGTGTGATCCAGGGCAAGTGACTTAGTCCATCCCTGCCACTTACTTCTTTCCTTATTCTGGCACTGAGGATGGAGCCTGAGGCCTCACACATGCTAGGCAAGTGCTCTGACACTGAGCTACATGCCCAGCCCTTTTCTGTTTTGAGACAGGGTCTCGCCATGTTATATACTTGAAATTGTGATCCTCCTGCTTCAGCCTCCTGGGTAGCTGTGATCACAGGTGTGTGCAGTTGGCCATTGTTTGTCTTTTTTAGTCTGGTCATTCTAGTGAGTGAAGTGGACAAAATCTTTAAAACTTGAAGTTGGAGCCAAGCAGAATGGTGCACACTTGTAATCCCAGCTACTTGGGGGGCTGAGGTAGGAGGACTGCAAGTTCAAGGCCAGCTTGGGCAATTTAGCAAGACTCTGATACAAAATAAAAATAAAAAGGGCAGCCAGGCATGGTGGTGCACGCCTGTAATCACGGCTCTGTGAGGCTGAAGCAGGAGATTTGCAAGTTCAAACCAGCCTGGGTAACTTAGTTAGATCTTATCTTAAAATGATAAAGGGCTGAGGCTAGAGCATTTGCCTAGCATGGGAGAAGCCCTGGCTTCCATCCCCAGCACTCCACACCAGAGCAGCCCATTTTTCCCTTCTGCACTTGCGTATCACTCACACTTCTGCCCCCAGCCACGTCGCTGCTCTGTCTACACCACACAGCTTGGCAGCGACACCTGCTGGGTGTTCTCTGGCTCAGCTCAGCTCCGCCCCCCCCCCTTGGACCGCATCAGATCCCACTCAGGGAGGGCTGGGTCACCACGTTGCCTCCACCTACCCTGGCATATAAATGTGGGTTCCCAGGACGTCCTTTGCAGATTGGATTGATTTATCAGAGGGGCTCACAGAACTCTGAGAAACACTTCTATTTCCAGAGTTATTACTAAAGAACAGAAGCCAGGTGTAATTACACCTGTAATTCCTGCACGCTGAGGGGCTGAGGCAGGAGGGTTATGAGTTCAAGTTCAGCTTGGGCAATTTAGTGACTTAGAGAGATGCTAACTCAAAATAAAAGATTATGGGGCTGGGGATGTAGCTCAGTGGTACAGCGCCTGCCTGGCAAGCGCAAGGTCCTGAGTTCAATTCCCAGCACCAAAAAAAAAAAAAAAAAATTAAAAAGAAATTAAAAAGGGCTGGGGCTGTAGCTCAGTATGGCGGCCTTGGGTTCAATCCCCAATCCCACAAAAAAAGAAAAATAAAGAAAGAAATACATAAAGATTAGAATCAAGGATGTGGATGAACAGCCCAATGAAGTCACACGTGGGGACAGAGACAGGTGCGGAGCTTCCCTGGCCTCTGGGCAGTGCCCCCACGCCCAGTCTCCATGTGCTCAGCCGACCTGAAGCCGGCAAGACCCTGGCTCTTTGGCTTTTTATGGAGGCTTCATTACATTGCAAGATTGATTACAACACTGTCCACTAGTGATCACTTTAACCTTTGGCCCTCTTGTCCTGTTCTCTGGTTACTCCCTGACCACCAGCCTCATTTTGAACCCTTTTGGGGGCCACCAAGAGTTGCCTCATGAGCACAGAAGATGCCCCTTTGCCTGGAATTGCAAAGGCCTCAGGAGCTATGTGTGAGGAATTCACTCCCAGGTCAAACATCAGAACAAAAGATTCTCCCTGTGTCCCCGTCCCCAAGAGTTTTGGGGACAGGAATCAGGGACAGAGACTGCAGTTACCTTTCTTACTTTATCACAGTACCCCAGGAGGGTGAGTGTCCCCCAGGAGGGTAGGGAGCTTGGTCCATCCTGGTCCCTGAACCCCCTGCACTGAGACACAGTATGTGCTCTATAAATCCTCAGTGGATGGATTAGAGCTCGACTTGCTCACAGAATTCCAGACTTGGGCTAAATACAGAGTGAGTTCAGGGCAGAACATGAGGGCAATTCAGAGAGGCGGGCCTGTTGAGCAGGTCACAGGGAGGAGACTGCACTGGGGCAGGAGGCCCGGGGCTTGGGCAGCAGCTGGGACTGGGAGAGGGATGTGAAGGAGGCAGAAGTTCCATCTGAGGACACAGAAGTTGAAGGCCAGAGGCCTGGTGGGCGGAGGGTGAGGGTGTGGGAAGGGAGAGGGTTGCGCTGACTGCCACAGCCAAGGGGCATCCCTGGGGGTGGCTTCTGCCCTTCCTCCCTCCGCAGAGAGGCAACCCTGTGCTGAAGTTCGTGCGCAATGTGCCCTGGGAGTTTGGCGAAGTGGTCCCTGACTACGTGCTGGGCCAGAGCACCTGTGCCCTCTTCCTCAGGTGAGCTCAGGCTGCCGCCTTCAGGAAGTGTAACCAGGCCTGAGGTCATGGTCCTGTCTCCTGGGCCTTTCAGGGTGATCTCTGTGCTTGACCAGGCTGGCTCTGACCCTGCATGTGGCTTGGAGGTGCCTGGAACAAGAGGAGCTAGGAGCTGGACCCCGGGTCTGAGGGAGGAGCTGGGCCTGTGATCTGTGGTCTGACAGAGGCGGGCAGACTATCCCAGGTATTCCTGAGTTGACAAGAACAGGGTTTCCCTGACCCCTACACCTCCACCCCCGGCTCCTCTGCAGACAGAGGAAGAGAAACTTCAAGCAGTTGCAGGTAGCTGGGGAGAGAAGCCCCTGCCCCTGCTTCCCAGGCCCAGCTGTGCAGCCTCCCTGTCCACCCTGTGCAGGCCACATACCTTAGGGCCCCGATCCTGTGCGCCGCCCTGAAGCCCAAGCTTTGTCCATCCTCAGAAAGGAAACCAGGGCCTCAGGCTCCCAGAGCGCCACAGGCAGGCTGCATCCCTGCCACGGCCTTGCTTTAAGGTGCCCTTGGGCAAGCAGTTTAGCCTCGAAAGGCTTCAGATCTGGTGAGGCTGCTGCCTGTGCTGTGCTCCGGGGACTGCACAATGCTGTGGCTGAAGAGGCTGCTGGGGCCTCCGGACCACTGAGACAAGAGCCCCCTTTCCCTGCCCCGCCAGCCTCCGCTACCACAACCTGCACCCCGACTACATCCACAAGCGGCTGCAGAGTCTGGGGAAGAACTTTGCCCTGCGCATCCTGCTGATCCAGGTGGATGTGGTAAGTGGCCGCTCCTCACTCTTCCCACCAGAAAAATGGGTGTTGAGTCCCTTTCAGGAAGTACATGTGAAAACATGGGTGAAGAACCAATTTCTGTATCTGAGACTGGTACCAGGGGTCAAACTCACGACCTTGAGCTTGCTGGGCAGGCGCTGGGCCTCTGAGCTAAATCCCCAGCCCCAGTGTCTCCTTCTCTACACCTGCTTCTAACAGGTGCCTGCCCGCTGCCACCTAAATGTTTTGTTTTTGTTTTTGTTTGAAATGGGGTTTTACTATGCAGTTCAGGCTAGTCTTGAACTCACTTTATAGCCCAGATTGGCCTCGAACTCACAGGGATCCTCCTGCCTCAGCCTCCCCAGTGCTGGGCTACAAGTGTGCACCTCCACATTTGGCTTTAAATATCTCTTAAAGTTGCTTTCATCCTCCATCCCCAGAGCCCCTGCCCAGGTTGATGCACCCTCCTTCCCAGTCACATGGCCTCCACTGGCCCCCTCCTGTCCATCCAGCAGCCAGAGGATTCTTTCTGAAGCATAGATTTGGTGTTAGCCTTCCCCTGCTCAAAACCCTCCAGGGCTCCCCTAGGAGTCAGTTCTCCTCCCTGGCACAGCCTGGAACCCTCTGTGACCTGACTGCCATCCAGCGCTCCAGGCCCATCGCTCACCTCGCCCTGCACCCCACAGCCTGCGGGCTGTCTCCCCAAGCCTGCCTTCCCCCGACAGCCCGCGCTTGTGTCTGGAGGCCCTTCCTGTTCTCCTGTGCTCCCTTCCCCTCTGCTCTCAGCTCAGATGTCCCCTCATCCCAGAAGCCCTCCCTGAGCGCCCTGGAGGCTCAGGCACCCCTCTGGCTCCTCCTCACCCGCCTGGCTGCCTGGCTCCTCCCGTCCCCACTGTCTGGGTATGGAGCTTCCCCCTTAGACTGAGCCCAGGAGGCAGAGGCAGGGCAGTCAGGGTCACTGTGGGGTCCTGACACTGCCCTGGACAGGCCAGGTACCCTAGAGGAGGAGAGGGGGTGTCCGGGAGCAAAAGGCTCGTGGCACCCTAAACAAACTGCTGTTTTCATTTCCTCCAACTCCATATGACAATTTTTTTTTTTGGTACTGGTAATCAAACTCACAACCTTGCTCTTGCCAGGCAGGCACTGTGCTGCTGAGCTATATCCCTGGCCCACTGTGCTGTTTTCAAACTCCGAGTGCTTGCCCTCTCCCAGGTCTCTAATTCTGACTTCCTTCTTCTCCAGAAAGACCCTCAGCAGGCCCTCAAGGAGCTGGCTAAGATGTGCATCCTGGCCGACTGCACACTGATCCTCGCCTGGAGGTGAGAGGGCCGTCCCTAGCTCAGGCTCTGCCCCCCACTCCCCCCAGCTCCACTGTCAACTCCCTCTCTGTGAGCCTGCTGTCTCGGGCCTCACCTGTCACACGGGGCCTTCGTATCTCTGTGTGGCCACAGGTGATGGAGATACAGAGCCCGGCAAGATGGTGCCTGCCTGGAATCCCAGCGCTCAGCTACGTATTGGGTTAAAAGCCCAGGCCAAACGCTGGAACTATGTAGGGAGACCCTGTCTCAGAAAACCAAAACCAGCTTTGCGCAGTGGCAGTATCGTAGCCAATGAGGTTTCTCTGAGGCGCGATTATTGCTGATTGAAAAAACCAAAACCAAACAAACAGAACCCCAAAACAAAAAGTATTAGAAGCCCGCCCGGCATGGTGATGCATACCTGTAATCCCAACAGTCTGGGTGGCTGAGGCAGGAGGATCACAAATTCAAGCCCAGCTGGGCAACTTAGTGAGACCTATTTAAAATTAATTTATTTATTTATTGTGGTCTACAGGTCTTCTTTTTATTTTTATTTTTATTTTTTTTCCGGTACCAGGAATTGAACTCTCGACCTCATGCTTGCCAGGCAGGCACTGTGCTGCTGAGCTAAATCCCCACCCCTAAAGTAATGCGTTCTCACACCGGGCGTCTAACCTGGGCTGCCTGGGCGAAAACCAGGAATCCTAACCGCTACACGATGTGGGAACAGGTCTTCTTTTAAAATCAGATTTTATCGGTACATTTTAGGCATACACAATGATCACATGCATCATACAGAATTTGTACCAGTATATAACTTGAGACCCTCTTTTTAAAAACAGGGCTGGGGATGTACCTCACTATGAAGGCCTTGGCTTGCCAGGCAAGCGCAACATCGTGAGTTCGATTCCCGGTATCGGAAAAAAAAACAAAAAAACCCCAAAAAACTAAAAACACCAAAGGGGCTGGGGATTTAGCTCAGCAGCACAGCACTTGCCTGGCAAGCGCAATGTCGTGAGTTCGATTCCCGGTACCGAAAAAAAAAACAAAAAACAACAAAAAACTATGAAGGCCTTGGGTTCAATTCTCCCAAAAAAAAAGGTAGAAGAAATCTTTTTTATTTTTGGTACTGGGAATCAAACTCAGGACCTTGTGCTTGCTAGGCAGGTGCTTGTGCTGCTGAGCTATATCCCCAGCCCAAGAAATCATATTAAGATACTTTTTACAAACCAGGCGTGATGGCGCACACCTGTAATCCCAGCACTCGGAAGCTGAGGCAGGAGGATCAGTGCAGTTCGAGAGCAGCCTGAGTTACAAAGTGGGCTCAAGGCCAGCCTGAACTGCATAGTGAGACACTGTTAAAAAAAAAAAAAAAGAAAAGAAAAAGAAAAAAAGAAAAGTGAGCTTAAGGCCAGCCTGAACTGCATAGTGAGACACTGTTAAAAAAAAAAAAAAAGAAAAGAAAAAGAAAAAAAGAAAAGTGAGCTTAAGGCCAGCCTGAACTGCATAGAGAGACTGTCTCAAAAAGACAGGGGGAAAAAAAGATACTTTTTATAATCCTGAGGTAGGAAAAAAATTTTTTTAAATATATTTATTTATTTATTTATTTGAGGCAGGGTCTTGCTATACAGTTCAGGCTGGCCTTGAATTTGCGGTGATCCTCCTGCCTCAGGTTTCTTTTTTTTCCTATTTTTTTTTTTTTAAGACAGGCTCTCACTATGCAGTTCAGGCTGGCCTTGAGTTCACTTTGTAGCTCAGGCTGGTCTCAAACTCAATGATCTTCTTGCCTCAGCCTCCCAAGTGCTGGGATTACAGACGTGTGCCACCACGCCTGGCAGCCTCAGGTTTCTGAGTGCTAGGATTACAGGCATGCACCATGACGCCCAGTCATGGAAAAAAATTCTAAAGTAAAACATAAAGCCCAGAAATCTAAAAGGAAGATTGGGTGATTTAAAATAATTAAAAATTTCTGGCACAGGCACCTGCCTGGCAAGCACAAGGTCCTGAGTTTGATTCCTGGTACCAAAAAAAATAAAAAAATAAAAAAATAAAATAAAATAAAAATTTCTAGCCACCAGGCATGGTAGCTCATGCTTGTAATCCCACTTGGGAGGCTGAGGCAGGAGGATTGCTGGCCAGCTATAACTACATAGCAAGACTGTCTCAAGCCGGGTGTGGTGGCACACGCCTGTAAGCCTGTAATCCCAGCACTGGGGAGGCTGAGACAGGAGAATCGTTGTGAGTTCAAGGCCAGCCTGAACTGCATAGAGAGACTATGTCAAAAAGACAAAAAAAAAAAAGACCCTGTCTCAAAAAACTGTAAGTGTTGGGCGTGGTGGCACACACCTATAATCCTAGCACTGGGAAAGCTGAGGCAGGAGGTTCACCATGAATTCCAGGCCAGCCTAGACTACACAATTGAGACCTTGTCTCAAAACAAAGAAAAAATATTTACTGTATATATAACAAAGATTTTAGCTGGGAATGGTGGCATGTGCATATTGTCCCAGCTACTCAGGAGGCTGGGGCAGGAAAAGTGCTTGAGTCCAGTTTTAGAGACCAGCCTGGGAAACGCTATTTAAAGGAAAAAAAAAACTCAAACGTTTCACTTTTCTTGGTGGTGGGCAGCTGATGTCTCAGGAGGTTGTCTTCCTGGTACAGTCTGAAAAATAAAAAGTGTTCCTGGTTTTCCTCCCTCCCTCCCAAACACAGTGCAGAGGCTGGGACCAAGAGCCCTGACATCCCTTCTAAGATAGTTAGCATTTCCTAGACAGGCTGCAAACAGCCGGGACCCTGTCACTGGCAGCACTGACCCATTTGATCTTCACAGTTCTACCACCACCCACTTTACAGATGAGGAAACTGAGGCCCAGAGATCCAGTCATTGGCTCCGGGTCAGCCAGTGGGGACTGGGTTGGGGCCTGAGCCAGAAACTCCAACAGCTTTCCTGTCCCCGTGTTGGAGCCCAGGAATGTTGGCCTCAGCATCATGATCACCAGGAAGCAACTCTGTAATGTGAGTCCCCACCGGCTGACCATGTCCTGTCCCCCAGCCCCGAGGAAGCTGGGCGGTACCTGGAGACCTACAAGGCCTATGAGCAGAAGCCAGCCGACCTCCTCATGGAGAAGCTGGAGCACAACTTCGTGTCCCGGGTGAGCCCACTGCCCTGCACCCGCAGCTCCTGGGTGCTTGAGCTTCACTTGTTATCCCAAGCAAGTCCTCCCTCACCCCTTGCACCCTAATGGCAGCGAGAAGGAATTTTTGTTTTGCTCTGGTTTTGGTTTTTTTGAGACGAGGTCTCACTATGTACTATGGGCTGGCCTCAAACTCACGGGATCCTCTTGCCTCAGCCTCCCAAGTTCTGGGATTACAGGTATTACAGGTATGGGCCACCACAGACAGCAAGAGGGTGTTTCTGAGTGCAAACCTGCTCCTGGCCTCCTGGATCCCATGGCTTGCCAGTGCCCTGAGGGGAAGCCCCCCTTCTCACCCTGCTCTCCAAGGCCTGAACTTCTCCCAGTATTCAACCCTCGGACCATTTGCCATTCTGTTCCCTCTACCCTGTTCCAGCTCTACTGCCCAGCGTGGGTGCCCCTCCCTCCAGGAAGTCCTTCTGAACCCCAGGCCAGGCTGTGTCCCTGCCCAGCTCCCCTATCCCAGTCATTACCATTTGGAACTGATTTCTGTCTCCGCTGGCCTGGGAGCCCCAGGAGGACAGGGCTGAACTGTCTGATCCCTGCGGTGTCCCAGACCACTCTGCACTCCGGGCACTTTCGGTGGTTGCTAATGAATAGTTGATTCTGGGCTCCAAGGGGAGATCCTGGCATACAGGTAGCTCCTTCCCCCACCTGCCTTCAAGCTGGGGCACATGGACTCCAGGTTTACAGTCACCCTGGGGAAGGTGACCTGAGGAAGGACAGCAGCGAAGGGGCCTGCCCAGTCATACAGCCAGGAATTGGCAGGGCTGGGGTTTTAATCTTGGCGGCTATCACCCAGAAATGTGAGCCGTGTGGCCCCCACAGCTGCAGGCCAGGGACACCACTGCCCTTATGCACTAGTGGTGCTCCTGGGACCCCATCTGTCCATGAATCTGTCCATGAATAGAGGCTGGAGGGCGCTCCCTGCCCTGGCATTGCGGGGCGCAGAGAGCAGCCTAGTCCTGGCTCAGGGCCACCTTCAGAGCCTCTGGTCTTACCCTGGGCGGAACCTGCCCCTGGCTCATCTCTGATTAACACCCTCAGCCATCTGGGGACGACTCTGACCTGACCTTTAATCAGTCCCCAAACAAAAGCACTGATTGAGCACCTACTGCATGCCAGGAAGCAAGTAGGGCCTCAGCCTTGAGCCTGCCCTGCCCTCCCCGCTGCGCTCAGGGTTGCTGGCCTTCTCCCAGCGCAACATCTCTTCCCCTTCCAGGTCACTGAATGTCTGACCACCGTGAAGTCAGTCAACAAAACGGACAGTCAGACCCTCCTGTCCACTTTTGGGGTAAGGACCAGCGGCTCCTCCCTGATAAGCCTCTCTTCCCCGGCTCAGCAGCCCCCCAGCCTTTCACCTCCCTGCCGCCTGCTCCTCTGGGCCTAAGCCTCCTCCCAGGAGCATGGGGGGGGCACCAGCTGGGACAGGGTGGGGCTCCGTGCACCCCACTCCTGACCCCTCGCTCCCGCCCTCCTCAGTCTCTCGAACAGCTCATGGCAGCGTCACGGCAAGACCTGGCCCTGTGCCCTGGCCTGGGCCCCCAGAAGGTAAGCCCTCTGCGGAAGGGCACGAGGGGCTGGGGACGGGGGTGACCACCAAATCAGTCGCACCTCAGATCCCACCCACCTCTTACAGGTGGGGAGACAGGCCTGAGGGGGTGGTAGGAAGTCTGGGGTGGAATCCAGATCAGCTGCTTCTCTCCTCACCCCTGAAGCCCCACTCTAAGCTGGGGAAAAAAAAGCCAGAACCCCGTTCTAGATGTAGCCAAGGGAGGCCTGTTTAATGACTGGTTCTTCGTTTCTCCCCACCCAAGGCGCGGAGGCTGTTTGACGTCCTGCACGAGCCCTTTCTCAAGGTGCCCCGATGACCCCCACGCTGGTGTGACAATAAAGCATTGTCCAGGGCCAGGCTCTGGCCGAGTGCTGGTGCAGTCGCTGGCTGGGGATGGGGGGGAATGAGCATGGGGAGTGGGTGTCGGCTTCAGCGTCACCTTCTGATGCTCCAGGTGGTCACCTTCAGCCTTTTTTAGCTCCTCAGTGTCCCTGGGAGGCTACACAGGATCCAGCTGTGGCTGCTGCTTCCGCTTCTTCTTTTTTTCTGCGGGAGCCACCTCCCTAGTCTCCAGATTCAGCGGCAGTTCTGGTATGTCCTCTGGGGGGTCTATCTCTGGCATCCCCTCTGGGGGGGCTATCTCTGGCATCTCCTCTGCTGACTCTGGCACCCTGTTTTCCTCACCCCGCTTCCTTTTCTTCCTGGTGGATCCCAGGGCTGCCCCGGCATGGGGCTCTCCCTTACCCGGCTGCTCAGGCTCTCCCGCCTCCCTTGGTGGGTCGCTCAGCTCAGTCCTGGGCTCCCCCACTTTCTGCTCCCTGTCCTTCTTCTTCTTGGTGGATGCCAGCGCTGCCTGAGGTTCCAGGTCCCCTGGCGGCTCAGGCTCCACCACCTCTGCCCCTGGCTCCAGCATCACATTTTGCCGCTTTTCTTTTTTCTTCCTCTTTTTGGTGGACTCCAGGGTCGCCTCGTACTGAGGCTCAACTTCCTGTGGCAGTTCTGGCTCCATTATCTGCCCATGGGGCGCCAGAGATCTCACCCCTGGCTCCACTGCCTCAGTCCCTGGCTCCATGGTCACCTCTGGCCTCTTTTCTTTTTTCTTCTTCTTCTTCTTCTTCGCAGGGATGGCTTCCTCCTGCAGCTCCCCTGTCACCTGTGGTTGAGACTGCACTGTCACCCCCTCCAGCTGCATCCCTTCCACCTCCGTCTGCCTCTTTCTCTTCTTGGTGGGGGAGAGGGCCGCCTCTTTGGGAGACTCGGTTTTGGCTACAGAGTCCAGCTCTGCTGTCCTTTCTGTTGGCTGCACGGTTTCTGCCTCTTTGGGCTGCCTCTTGTGCTTCTTAGAGGTGGGTGGGACCAGTACTCCCAGAGGCTCTGACATCTCAGACCTGGGCTCTGTCCCCGCAGGCTCCATCAGCCCTGGTTCTTCCAGCTGGTGCTTTCTTTTCTTCTTCTTTTTCCCCACATCCATTTCCGTCTCTACCTCCGGGACTGCGTGCCCATTCACTGCCACTTGAGCAGTACAGCCTTCTGGCACCTGCCTTTTCTTCCTCTTCCCTGAGGAGGGTGACTTCAGTGCCAAGGGCGACCCAGGCCCTGTGACTGGTGGGCTGCCTCCGAAGGCACAGAAACGGGGCCTCAGGCCAGGGGGGATCTGTGGCGGGGGGCTTGTTGGAATGGGCTGCAGAGGGAGCCCTGACAGGGGTTCCTGGGGACCTTCAATGATCCTTAGGCTGCCCTGGGGGGCGGGGGCACAGGTGAGTCCACCTCCCGCCTGTGCGGAGGGAGCCAGCAGGGTGGCTTCCCCAGCCAGGGGGTCACTAGTGCCGAGGACCTGATACCGGTGCCGCTTGCCAGCCAACTTGCCCTTGACGATGTGGGAGCCAGAGAGGGGCACCAGCCGGCCATTGAGGCTGAGGGAGAAAGGGCGAGGCAGAGACTTGGTCAGGACCTTTCGGTAAGACGAAGGAAGCCTAGAAGCAGCATCTGTGGGTGCTGGGAAATGCCCCCTCTAAATTCCCCCCAAGCTCAGCCTCTGAAGCAGGGCAGGGCTGGGACCACTCACCAGTCTGGGGCAAAGTCTGCAGGGGCCTGGATCAGCCACAGCTCTGTATCCGGGCCTGTGAGTGTCTCCAGGGAGAGGCGGGAGGGCTCTGAGGCTGAGCGGATTGCAGTAAAGTTGCGGGGACAAGAGAACCGAACAGCACCTGCGGGAGGAGAGAACAGGGGTCTGCTGACACACTCATCCCTGAAGAGCGCCTGCCCGCGCCTCGGTCCCGACCTCGCGAGCAGCGCTGCAGTTTCCTCCTCGGGTCCCTCCTCTGCCCGTCTGTTCCCAGGGACGTCCCCTATCTTCAGCCCTGGGGTGCTCTTCCCTACCCCGCTGATCCCCCCAAGACACCAGCTGGGAAGTGAGATCTCTGCGCAGCCCAGTGTGGCCATGCCGCTTTTTTCACCAGGACTTTCCCGGGCACCCCTTTCTCTGCTCAGTCCCCGCTCCGCACCCCGTCCGCACGCCCGCTCACCGCCGGACTGGGTCCCCTCCATCCCGAGGCCGGAACAACGCGCAGTTCCAGCAGCCGGAGCGGTGCAAGCCTGCGGCCGACCACGTGGCTCCGAGTGGGCGGGGCATCTCCCGAGAGTGCCCAAGTGTCTGGGACCGCGGGGTCGTCGCTCGGCGCCTGTTCGCTTTACTGGAAAAAACTGGGAAGATTCCCACCCATGCAGAGTAGATAACGAAAGATAGGCTCTTTTTCCGGACATCTACACCAGAAAGAAGCGGATTCATTGTGTCTGTGGCGTCAGGGCCGCCCTAGGTCTCTGTAGGTCTCCCCCACAGTATCTTAGAAATGATTTGTTCCAACACCGCCTTAAAGGGGCAGTCACACCGGGAGGGCCTAACTCTTAAAGAGACAGGAAGATCGATTGGGCTGAAATTCTTTTAGGGGTAAGTAAGAATCCTGGTAGGCAGGGCTCTGTCTTCAGCGTTGGAATCCCTTCTGGAGGGGCCAAGATGTCTCGGAAGTTTAGGATTTGAGTGAGAAAGGTCGGAAAATGGAGGAAAGGGGGTAATCACGCCCGAGGGCTTTAAGTATCAGTCAGGGGCGGGGCCTCTGGATTCTGGGGGAGCGGGAAACACAGGGGGTGGAGCCTACGCGCATAGGGAGGAGCCTCGGACCCCGGAGCCAAACCCGCAAACGGCTGTGCAAGCTGAGGGACTTAGTTTGTGGATCGGAGGAGGCATGTAGATACCCTCGAGGGTCTACTGTTGTGCTTGGGAAATATTCCCATGGCTTTGAGGAACGGAGATGGGGCAGGAGTCCTGACCGCCGCCCCTTGCCTGTCCTGAGGGCGTGTAAACATCGGCACGTGGACGCGGATTTGGGGGATGCGCCCACGCTCCTTGCTACCAGGACTGCCCGCGTGGGGCGACGGGTGGAGCTGAGGGACCGCAGCTAGACAGGGTGACCCGACTGCATTCCTGGCCGGTGTGTCAGCGCCGCTTCCCGCCCCCTCTCTGCCGAGGTTTCGGATCCTACTCCAGAATTGGGATGCCCCGCCTTCTCCTGCGGCTTTCCAGAGCGGGTGGGGGGACTCAGGGGAAGGGGAAGTGTTCTCTCCGCCAGGGATCCCCAGACAGTTTCCCCGACCGTGGGCGGGAGACTGGAGCGCTGCCCCTGCGGGATCCGAGACTACAGTTCCCAGAGGACCCGAAGGGCGAGGCCCCGGGCTTCGGTCGCGCATCCTCCTGGGGTTTGTAGTCCAGCCGCTTCCAGCTCTTGATGGGGAATCCCGTACAGATCCAATCCTCCCACCCCGCCTTTTTTTTTAACCGACGGGGAGATTGAGGCTCAGAGCCTGAGAGGATACTGATTTAGTGCGGCGCTCCTCTCGCTCTAGGAGGGGGAATCTGAGTCCCATCTCCCTAGCCTCCTGTCTCCCACCCCTGTGGTGATGTCCAGCTCTTTACTCCAGAAAGGGGAAACGGAGCCAAGAGAGTTGGGGAAAGGTTCAGGAGTCCATCTTCTGCAACCACAATGAAGTGGGAGTCTCAGGTTTTCTGCACGTCACAGCCTTGGTTGCCCACGGCTTCGGGGCCTCGTTCTTCCTATCTGTGAAATGGACTCCGGGTGAATCCCTATGGAAAGGTCTCGGACCGCGTCCTGCCTTCTGGGACTACAAGTCCCAAGGTGCTCGAGGTGACCTCGCTCCCCCTCCCCCGCGGGCCCGCCTCCCTTCCAGCCCAAGTCACGTCGTCTAACCTGTTCCCGGCTCCCGCCCCGCCCCGTCCTCGGCTCCCCGAAGCTGGAACCGGAGCCGGAGGAAGCCCCCCGTGCCAGGATCTGCCTCGGACCCGTGAGTTCCGCTCCCCTGGGGTCCAGGGGCCCTGGAGGACTGGGAAGGGATTCAGACTCCGGTCCCGGGGCAGAATGTGGGGTGCGCAGACGTCTGGGTCCCCTGGAAAGAGAAAACTCAGTTTTCTGACTTACTGGGCAGGAGAAAAGGGGCGCAGATGCCTGAGTTCTTAGAATAGAAGACACAGACCCTTTGGTCTTGGGGAGACATTGGAGCTGGGGTCCCTGAGTTCCTCGAGTGGGGGGCCCTGGGAAGTCTGAGCCCTTAGGTAATACTGGGGTGTCGGATTCCTGACTCAGGCAGAAATAGGAGGCTGGAATGGTGGGGCTGTGGACTGGGTGGTCACCCCTGCCGCCTTCCAGCTGCCTTCTCGGCTGCGTCTCTGAGCTCAACCCGGGGTGGGCGGGGATAGTGGAACCTGGGTCTCTGGAAAGGAGCGGAACGAGTACCCTGGGTCCCTCCGCAGGCTATGTCTCGGCGCTTCCCCCACTTTCCGGCTTTGGGGTGGGGGCAGGGGGGTGAGAAAACCGGGGCAGCTCTCCAACCAACTCTGTGCCGCTGAGCGAACCCCAACATGTCATTAACCCGGGCGTCAGACCTGCCTAACCAGAGGGACATCCGCCCCAGGGCGCCCCCTGGCGGAGGCGGGAGGCCTCCAGTTGCCCCACGAGGGTGGTGTGAGCCATCAGGGGTTTGCAGAGGTCATTCTGGAGTCCAGGATAGCATTCCAGAACGGAGGGTTGAATTCCAGAACACAGGGTTTGTATTCCAGAGCAGGGGGCTGGATTCTGGAAGGCTTGCATAGCCAGGCATTTATGCATTGCACGGGGGAGGGGGTAAACTGAGGCTTGGAGGAGACACGGACAGTCGTGTTGGGGGTCAGGTTTGGCTTCTGCCTTGCTCTCTGGCAGCTCTCCTAGGGGCCAGGGCTCCATCTCCTCCCTTCTCCTTCTTGGGGCTCCTTGCCCTGACCCCGGGTGAGACTGTCACCCCCACACTTGGCTGTCTGACCTGAGTTACTGGGAGATAAGAAAAGTAGAGAGGCTAATTCTGGAGGTGTCCTTGAGGGAGGGTGGGGGTGGACAGGCCTCTCCCTCCGTCTCTCTCTTCTCTCCACCCCCATGTGTCATGGGGGGGGCACCTGACCAGAGAGGGACGTTGGCTAATGTCTAGGTTTGAAGGGCATTCAGTGACAGCGTGAAATGAAATTAAAAATAATAACCGTGGCTGCCAACACAGGGCATGTGTCATGCCTAGCTCAGGTCTGGCAGGTAGACAGGACGGGCACTGTGGCCCAGAGAAGTCTTTGGCAACTGCCCAGAGGTCACACTCAAGCGTTCCGCCTTTCACGAGATTAGCGGACCCCAGGGCAGGACTCTTATCTACTAGTGGGGAAACGGAGGCTGGCTAGCAGGACACCCCTAGCCTGGGGTTTTGCTTCTGTCTGGACTCTTCCAGAGCTTTCCTGCTCTAGTCCAAGTTACTAGGAATGATCACCTGCCAGAACTCAGGAATGGATGGGGAATTTAGGACCCCAAAATTCAAGGGCTCAGGGGATTGGGACCCCAGGCATCAAAATTCAGAGACTTTAGGATCTCAGAAACAGTTTTGGCTTGGTATGGTGGTGAAAGCCTGTAATCCCAGCACTTGGGAGGCTTGAGGCAAGAGGATCGCCTGAGTTTGAGGCCAGCCTGGACTACGTAGTGAGACCCTGTCTCAAAAGAAAGAGTTTCCGAGATGGGTGTAGAGGTGCATACCTGTGATCCATGTTTGGGAGGCTGAGGTAGGAGGATCACTTCAAGTTTGAGGCCAGCTTGCACTACAGAGTGAGTTCAAAGCTCCCCTGAACTGCATAGCAAGACAGCATTGTCTCAAAAAAAAAAAAAAAAAAAAAGTTGAAAGACCCTTTGGGGGGTTACATGTTACTTTGGGTCTTGAGGTCACTCTGTGGTGACCCTGTGTAGTTTTTTGTTTTGCTTTTCCTTGGGGGGATCCCGTACTGGGAATTGAACTCAGGACCTTTGGACTGAGCAACATCCCCAGCCCATTTTATTTGTATTTATTTATTGAGATAAGGTCTCCCTAAATAAATAAGTTACCCTGCATGGGGCCTGAATTTGAGATCCTCCTCCTCAGCATCTCAGAGTGGTGGCATTACAGGCGTGCCACACCCTGGCTAACCCTATGTTATCTTAATGATCCATCAAGGAAGGCCGATGATTAAGGATTCAGGATGTGTGAACCTCATTTCATGCAGTGCACTGTTGTAAACACCGTACATAAATTAGGTCAGCCAATCCTCACACCCCTTTAAGGTGAAGGTATTTATGTGCCCATTAAACACACGAGGAAACTGAGGTAGAGACGCTAACTAGCTTGAAGTAGAGGCAGAGTGAGAAGAAGTTCCCAGCCCATTCCACAGAAGGGAAAATCAAGCCCCAGAGAAAACGGGGGAGGTAGCTCTGCCAGCGACACTGTGTCCCGACCAAGCGAAGGATTCCATCCTGGTATTCCCAGTCTATGCTGGCGCCCTGACCAGGTTCCTACTAAGGACGCCTCCAGAAAGCCCACAGGATCTTTAACCCCAAAGAACCTGGCTGGCTGCTGAGGAGGCCGGGTTGAGAGAGCTGGTGGTGGAGAGGGGAGCCCAGGAGAGGATACTGAGGTGGGCGGGAATCCCCGGAAGGAATGTGGAGCCTGAGTTGGAGGGAAGCCCAGATGAGGAACTGGGGGCAGAGGGCAGGGGCCTGGGAACAGAGCCGCGGCCCGCGCCCCGCCCAGCCCGCTCCCCCGCCTCGAGAGGTGCACACCTGCCCGGGCCCGCCGCGCATTCCCGGGGCCTGAGCTCAGGCGCTGTGTTCGCCCTCCTGCTTGGTCGAGGTCAGGCGGTGACCCGGCGCCCCCTGGCGGCTCTGGCGCGCCCACCACCCGCACTAGCCTCGGGGTCTGCCCCACGCCCAGGGCAGGTATTTCCTTAGGATGTCAGGGTGGAGCCTGAGAATCTTAGACAATGGCGGATCATGCAATCCTCAGAAGAACCGCTTACTGCTGGAATTGCTGGCTCTGGAGGCCGCGTAGAATTGATTTGTGTTTTCGGTCCTGGGCACTGAACCAGGGCTTTTGCACAGAGCTACATCCCCAGCCCTTTTATTGATTGATTGATTGTCTTTTTGAGACAGGGTCTATGCAGTTCAGGCTGGCCTTGAGCTCACTTTCTAGCCCATGCTGGTCTCGAACTCGCAATTATTCTCCTGCCTCAGCCTCCCGAGTGCTGGGATTACAGGTGTGCACCAGCACGCCCGGCTTATTTTTTTATTTTGAGACAGGATCTTGCTAAATTGCCCAGGCTGGGCTCAGATTTTCGGTCCTCCCTCGGTCTTCCAAAGTGTTGGGATTGGGCCATGGATGTAGCTAAGCGGTGCAAGCGCCTGCCTGGCAAACTCAAGGTCCTGAGTTCGATTCCCAGTACCAGGGGAAAAAAAAATCAAAAAACCAAAGTGTTGGGATTACAGATGCCCATTACCACGCCTGTCTGACTTGACAGTTTTTTTATATTTTAACAGACACAAAGTGTTTCCTGTGTCACTGAGATTTTAAAAGCCCCGTTTTGAGTCCTATAGTCTCTGCTTTGTGAGGTTTCAGTTCTCGGAACCCTGAATTCTAATAGTCCTCCTTGGTGTACTGTTACTTCTCCCCATTTTACAGATCAGGAAACTGATCCATGCTGATCAGGACCAGCAAGTGGTCCTACCAGATTTGAACCCACAAAGCCTGATTGCTTATTTGTGCTTTTATCTCCTCTAGATTTCCAGGACAGTTCGTTCCTGGGATAGAAAGTGGGGCTATGAAATGAGGGAAGTCCAGAGTGTTCCAAAGACAGAATCTTGGGTTTAGAACTTTCCAACAATAGACTCTCAAGCTGAGGAGTTCAGGATCTGTGGAACTTTATTTTGTTTTATTTTATTTTTTGAGACCAAGTATCAGGCAGATCTTGAATTTAATATGTGGCCCAGGCTGGCCTTAAACTCGTGGTGAGCCTCCTGCCTCAGCCTCCTGAGTGCTGGGATTACAGGCAAGTGCTGGGATCTGCAGAACTTTAATTACAATCTCAGGGTCCTGACAGTTTCAGAGTGGAGCCCTCTTAGAGTTTGAAGGGGTCTCTCAGAGTAGCTAGTTTGCTTCCATTCACTGTGGGGAAACTGAGGCCTTAGGAGCAGAGAGGACTCGTTGGCCAAGCTCACACACTCCCAGTACACCCAGATGAGCCGCAGCCCTGACTGGTCCTGTTCCCGCGGCTTCCCAGACTGAGGCTGGTGTCGGCACGCCCCGGCACGCCCTGCTGCCCACGCCTGGACCGCCACAGCCTAGAGGTTGGGGCAGAGGGCGGTGACAGGCTGGCGGGCATGGCGGCTGCCATGGGGATGGAGACGGTGCTGGCTTGACTGGTTCCCGGTGGCTGTGCTCCCTCCCTCTGGGCGGGTCCCTCCTCCCACCAGCCCCTCTGCGGGCCATGCCTCCCCTGGGTGGGGACATAAGGGGGAGGGACACAGGGCTCATTGATCTCCAGGACCCCTTCAGGGTGCTGGCAGCTGTGTAGAAAAATGAGCTGGATCCCGGTGGGAAACGCGGAGCAAGGGACTTCTTGGAGGTGACTTTGCACAAATGTGTCTGATTAGCTTCTGGCTACTAGGCTGGTTTTGATCATGGACTGAAGGCTGAGGGCAACCCCCTTTTAGCAAACTTCTGCAAGACAGTGGCCCCGAAAGTAGTGCCGGTTGGTTCTATTACCTTATGCTCCTAGTCACCAGCAAGGGTTCTAGTACAACACAGGAGTGTTCAGCGGCAAGCAGCGTCTCCTGGGTCCCCGAGGGTGCTCAGTGCAGGAACTTCTAGTTCTTATTTCATTCTCTGCCCACTGGCACCGAGGAGAAACCTCTCTCTCCCTGCCTTCCCCCATTCCCAGCCTTTTACTTTTTTTGTACTGGGACTTGAACTCAGGACCTTGCCCTTGCCAGGCAGGTGCTGTGCTACTGAGCTGTATCCCTGGCCCTCCAGCCTTTTTGTTTGTTTTGTTTTTCAGACAGGATTTTGCTCAATCGCCCGGAGGCTGAGTTCAAACATGTGATTGTCCTGCCTCAGCCTCCCAGAGTACTGGGATTGCAGGCATGTGTCACCATGCCCAGCTAGGAGTTAAGACATTTCAGCAGGGCTGAGATAAAGAGATGGATGAGGAGCCATGTGAAGAAAGTGAAATAGCGTTGAAGGCCAACCTGGATACATTACGTAGAGAGACCCTGTCTCCAAAAATAAAATAAAATAGGCTGGGAAGTAGTTCAGTTGTCCAGTGCCCCTTGGTTTTGATCCCCAGTGCTGGGACAGAGGTAACAATAGAGATACAGAGATCGAGATAGAGCTAGAGAGCCAGGCGTGGTGGCGCAAGCCTGTAACCCGAGCACTCAGGAGGCTGAGGCAGGAGGATCATTGCGAGTTCCAGACCAGCAGGGGCTACAAAGTGAGTTCAAGGCCAGCCTGAACTGTATAGCGAAAGCCTGTCTCAAAAATACAAAAAAAAATAAATAAATAAAAATAAAAATAAAAATGAAAGAAAGAAAGAAAAAAAGATAGAGCTAGAGAGCTGAAGATAGAGATACAGAGAGGATTATCTGGAGTCTTCCAAGTGGATTTGGAGCCTGTGGATTTGGCTTTGCAGGAGCTGCCATTTCCCAGCTGGGGCAGTGGAAGGGCTTGCACAGTCGTGCTCCCTGGGCCCCGAGTTCCGGGGACAGGATCTGAGCCGCTCCCCCACCGCGCAGGCGCCCCGCTGCGGCTGGCACCATGGACAGCGAGGCTTTCCAGAGCGCGCGGGACCTCCTGGACCTGAATTTCCAGTGTGAGCGCTGGCGGGGCGGGGCCTGGAGGGCGGGGCCGGGCCGGCCCGAGGCTTGGTCCTGACCCTTGCTCTGTCCGCAGCGCTGGCCATGAAGCACATGGACCTGAAGCAGATGGAGCTAGACACCGCGGCCGCCAAGGTGGACGAACTGACCAAGCAGCTGGAGTCGCTGTGGTCAGACTCGCCGGCACCTCCTGGCTCGCAGGCTGGAGCCCCCACTAGGGTGAGCCTGGGCTCGGCCCGCAGCCCCCAAAGATAGTTTCTCTCCAGGCCCGAGGCATGGATTTCAAACAAAGCTGCTCTCTTTGGTTGTGGGGTCTTCAAGGACCCTTGACAGCGGGAACCGGGGCTGGGGATCTAGCTTAGTGGCATAAGTGCTTGCCCTGGCAGGCACAAGGTCCTGAGTTCGATTCCTGCTACCAAAAGAAAAAGAGGGAACCGTGGCAGTGGACATCTAACAGCACCCCAGGATGTTTCGAAAGAGGTCTTTTCCAAAGTCGCACGAAGGGGCCCTGTCTCAACCAACAAACTTTAGAACTTAAGTCGCACAAAGGGGACAGTGAAGGCCCCAAGTTAGAGCTCTCTCCCCAGCACACCTCAGCTGGGCTCACTGCCAAAATTTCTACCTAGGTCCAACTTCTTTTTTTCAGAGTTCATTGGCACATTTTAGGTATACACAATGATCCCATTCACCATAGGGAATGTGTACCTGTACATGACATAACTTCATTCTTGAAAAAAAGAAAAAACTTCATTCTTGAGGGCTGGGGATGTAGCTCAGTGGCAAAACGCCTACCTGGCAAGCGTAAAGTCGTGCATTTGATTCCTGGTACCGGAAGAAAAGACCAAAAAAAAAAAAAAGATATAACTTCATTCTTTTTCTCCCTATTCCCCTGCCCTCCCTTCAACCCCTCTTCCCTGCCTATTTACAAAAGCTTTGTTTCCATTTTTTCCTTCTTGTTTTTTTTTCTTTTCCCTTCCTTCCTTTTTCCCTCCCCACTTCCTTGTTCCCCTTCTCATTTGCACATTTTCTTCCTGTTTCACAATATCTATTAAAACTTTGGTCCTCATCCATACTTTCAGTTTCTCACACCAGAGAATCAATATGGTATTTACTCATGTGTGTCTCTGATTTATTTCACCAAGAAAATGGTCTCAAGGTGCATCCATTTACTTAGAAAAGTCTCAGGCTTATCCTTCTTTATGGCTGAGTAGTACTCCATTGTATTAAAAAACCACATCTTTATCTATTCATTGGCTGATGGGCATTCGAGCTGTTTCCAAGATTTGCTATTACAAACTGTGCCACTATAAACATGGGTGTGCCTATAGCGCCGTGCTATACTTTTAATTTTTTTCGGGAAGATACCAAGAAGGGAAATAGCTGCGTCGAATGGAACCTTCTCTCGCTGTGGTTTGAACCTAGGGTGTTCGCATTGAACTACACATCCCCAGTTTTTGTTTTGTTTTTTAAATTTTATTTTTACTTCGAGACAGGGTCTCCCTAAAGTGCCCAGCCTGGGCTCCGCTTTGGATCCTCCTGGTTTAGCCTCCCAGAATGCTGGGATTACAGGTGTGCGCCCCATGCCCGGCCTCTGGGTTCACTTTCAATGTCCCGTTTGCTTTCTCCCATCGACCCCTCTACTAATGTCTTCTTTGATCCGTCAACATCGTGGCCTCCCCACAGCAATCCCGGTACAGCTCCAGCCCGATCCCCGAGTCCTTCAGCAGCCGAGGCTCCCCGAGAAAGGCGGCCACCGACAGCGCAGACTCATTCGGACGCTCGGAGAGTGCCCCGGCCTTGCATTCGTACAGCCCACTGTCACCCAAGGGCCGGCCGGCGTCGCCGCGCACCCTACTCTACCTTCAGCCGGAGGCCTACAGCAGCTTGGACCGCTCGCCCTCGCCCCGGCCCCGCGCCTTTGATGGCGCAGGCAGCCCCCTGGGCCGTGCTCCCTCCCCGCGGCCAGGGTCGGGCCCACTCCGCCAGCAAGGTCCCCCTGCACCCTTCGATTTCCTGAGCCGCGCGGGCTCCCCACGTGGTAGCCCTCTGGCAGAGGGGCCCCAGGCCTTCTTCCCTGAGCGCGGACCCTCGCCGCGCCCCCCTGCCTCAGCCTACGATGCGCCCGGGGCTTTCGGGAGCCCTCTGCTGGGCGCGGGCGGCAGTGCCTTCGCCCCGCCTCTGCGTGCCCAAGGTGAACCGGAGGCCCCAGAATTTGGGGGACCGGAGGGGCTTGGATCCAGCCTCCCCCACACCCTCACTCAGCGTCTCCTTCTCCCCTCAGATGACCTGACGCTGCGCCGACGCCCCCTTAAAGCCTGGAATGAATCTGACTTGGACGTGGTGTACGAGAAGAAACCTTCGCAGACAGCGAGCTACGAACGTGAGTGATGGCGGCCTGGAATGGGGGACCGGAGCAGAGCTCCCCCCAACCCCCCGCCCCGCGTCCTGATGATTCCGTCCCACAGGCCTGGACCTCTTCACGCGGCCTGCCTCGCCAGGCCTGCAGCTGCTGCCCTGGAGAGAGAGCAGCCTGGATGGGCTGGGGGCCTCGGGCAAGGTGAGCAGCGAGGCTAGGGCTAGAACCCGGGTCCCCCTCCTGGCCACGTCCCCGGGTCCCTGTGTCCTTCCTGCTTCCTCTTGGACTTCCACTTTTGCTGGACACTCCTGTACTCCTCGTGTGTGTGTCTGTATCAGTCTGTCTGTCTCTGTTTCTCTCTCTCTCTTTGTCTTTTCTTAGACAGTCTCACTATGTAGTTCAGGCTGGCTTCGAACTTGCGGAGATCTTCCTGCCTCATCCTCCAGAGTGGTGGGCTTACAGGCGCATGTGCTACCATACTCAGCTCATCTCCCCCTCTGCTCTTTCCTTTGCCTTCTGAGCCCCTTCTTTTAACTTACCTTTGTTCTCCCAGGACAATCTCACCAGCGCCACCTTGCCGCGCAATTACAAGGTCTCGCCTCTGGCCAGCGACAGGCGCTCAGACGTGGGCAGCTACCGCCGCTCAGTGGGCGCCGCTGCGGGGCCGTCGGGCACCCTACCCCGCAGCTGGCAGCCGGTCAGCCGCATCCCCATGCCTCCCTCCAGCCCGCAGCCCCGCGGGGCCCCGCGTCAGCGCCCCATCCCCCTCAGCATGATATTCAAGCTGCAGAACGCCTTCTGGGAGCAGGGGGCCAGCAGGGCCATGCGACCTGGGTCCCCCGTCTTCTCCCGAGCACCCCCCCCTAAGCTGCCTCCCCAGCCCC